TTGTTGCTCCACTGTGTTCAACAGCTACTGTAGTCGCTATTAAGTATGTATTAAGTAAATGATCGGTGAAAGAGTTAGTTGAATAATTGATGAATGGTGTTCATTCTGAGTGCCCATGATTCTTTATGAATGTAACGTAAGGACATTTTCACAATAATACCTATTTCACTTTCTTTTAAAACTGCTCAAAAAAGAGCAAGACAGTGGATTCCAGGCTGTGATAAAGTTTGATAATGTTAAAACATGAGTTTATTGATGACCAAATGAAGAAAAGAAGTTCATCACACTGTGATAAATTCCCACATACAGTGGAAATATTGCAGAAACTGATGTTAAGCAGGGATGTGCATGGAGCTGTAGTTGCCAAAAGGGTTTTCGTGTGAACCATGAAAACCAGAAATGAACATGTGACAGCAGGGCATGTAGACAAATGTGAGCGAAGCATGCCTTCATTATCCCAAATGAAATGCAGTGTTTGTGTTTTGAAGTGGTGAGAAATGAAGCACAGAGCTCTAGCACCATGGTTAAAACATTGCAATGCCTGTGATATCTGCAGGGCACGCTAATGGCTCAGCAGACTGAAGCTCATGTCATAAGTTTTGAGGTGTGAAGAAGTTCAGATCTGACTCAGGACGTCACTTTACATGCACTGTACCGTAATAGTTCTTCTTTCTTTTCCAGTGAGATATTCTTAAAGCTTCATCATTACTGAACAATCCTGCTGAGGGAGGCACTTGTGATAACGGAGGCTGATCCTGTCAGGAAGTGATTATTTAAATCAGTGCATCAATTAACATGTCTGCCTAACGAGGAGTCCTGTTGTTATTGGTGACAGCAGAATTACGTCGGTGTTTTCAGTGGGAGAGACATTTGCAGGGGCAAATTAATTGACCCAAAATCACTTAATTCACACAGAATTAACATTAGCTACCTGCAGATCGCTAACAAGATGAAACTAAAAAGATCAGATAGTTATAATTCGACAAACCACTTCTCATGTTGCTGACAATGGAGTAATGCCATTTCAAAGTGTCTAACTTTCCTTCGGATTGCTGCAGAGAGCCGTGATATTCCCTGCTTCTTGTGCTTTATTCTTTTCACTGTTTGTCAGTGTTAACAGAACAAACATTTCCGAAGTGTCTACGGCTATAATAAGCCTTCATTAAATTCCCGGTTTAGAGGATTACTGACTGACACATCCATTTAAAACTAAACTCCTAAGAAGTTTTAAAGCATTCAAAAAACATAAAGGGAACACATCTATGGTTTAATTTTCCATTGCTACACCACATCACTCTTCATTTGCATGAAGTAAAACTGCTCAGCGGAGATGTTTCCGCCATTATACAAATGACTTCTGGCCACTTTGTCTCGTCTTGTTGCTGCTGGTGTGAGTGCACACACATATAGAGAACCAAATTGCTTTCTGTTCATCGCATAAACATTTTTTTTTTTCTTCCCAGGTTCATTTCAATTTAGCGCTAAAGCCATAGGCACAATTCTTAAGCAATTGCACATTACAGCCCCAGTGCAAAGAGAAGATTGAGTCATAACACTGTAGTTAAAGAAGAGATCATTGTATCAGCAGTTGTCTCTTTCTGTAAATAGTCATTACATCATCAACAGTCTCATAATGTCTTCTATTACCTCTTTGTCTGATGCTGCTGCTCTTTTTCTACAGTTGATGTATACGTTACCTTCATTTCAGACTTTTTTTGCAGTTGTCACTACCATCGAAGCAACACATCTCCTGCTGTTTCAGAATCGTGTATACACCTCTAATAAGATGACAAGAAGGAAGACAAATCTATGAATAAAACAAATCTTTGGAGATTTGCTAACCTGAACCCATGTTGGAAATCTTCACGGCGAGCTGCTGAGCCAAGCAGCCAAAGAGAACAAGTTAGATGTCTGTGACAGCAACCAGCACAGCACATCCCCAAATTATGCCAGCTTCACTGTCGTTTCATAGCTACTTCATAAACTTAAACCTTCTTTTTTTTATTTCTCTCATTCACCTCTGTCCATACTCTCCCCTTTCTTTAACTGTCAACCACCCCCCCCTCCTTTTACATCTGTAACGCAAATGCACACACCTTGCTTTTGGGTGATCCTTTAACGACACAAATGTCAATTGCTTTTTCACACAGTCACTGAAGGAGTGAGAGGCTTAAGGAGGGAGAGAGGGACATGGATAAAGACAGTGAGAGAGAGAGAGAGATGAGAAAAAGAGCTTAATCCTAGATTGATGGCTGCTAATAAAGTTTGATTATTACTGACAAGGCACTCTGGGTTTCTAATTGACACTTGTAATAGCCTGGGAGACCAGACAGTGAAGAAAGGGGAAACGGGAGAGATACTTTTCTTTAGGCATGGCAGCACCTAACAGTCCAAATCACAAAATGAGAATACTGCTAACAAGACCACTGTTGGTAATTTGGCAACTCTGTTGGTAGATTTATAATGGTTTTTTTTTAAATCTCACTGCCAATGTTTTCTTGAAAAGGCACCAGCCACTAATCTACAATGTTTTTTCAGTTGTTGTACTCGGCAAAAAACTAAACAATCAGTAGCTCGCTATCAGATAACCAAAGACAATAGCCTCATATCCGCTCTGAGAATGTATATAATTGCAATACAATATATTCTGGTGATTGCCATAGTTCTCTCCATCTGTTCACTCTTTTTTATTTTGTTATGTCTTTGTGTTGTAGAACACACTTTGTACACATAAATATATTCATAAATATGTATAACTTCCTTTTTGATCTTTTAGAATGAGCACTTCAACAACTATGTAATTTGTCCAAAATATTGTCCACAACAATTATTCATATATTTTCTTTGTCACACCTCGCATTTCTCTTCAAAGGATGTTCTTTTTTTTTTGTCCTCCAGGCAAAATCATAAAGGAAAATGTAATTGAAGGTGAAAGTTAGAATTCTTAAGTTTCACAGGGACCTTACGAACTCCAAACACAACGTGGCTATGTCTGATGTTTGACTTTTAATTATAACATGTCACCACTAAGGTCCCAGCTTGCAATTCATCTTTACTGTGACAGCGTGTGTATTACACAACCTACCCATGCACCGCTAGGCTTCCATGATTAAAAAACAATCTATGGAATAATAATCTGCAATGTTTTTATGTTATTTCATGTCTGTTCCTAGTATCAATGGCTGATGTAAAGTGATTATACATAACCAACCCGTGTAAGCCAGTTTTGAAAGAGCGTCATCAGCCAAGTAACTAAAAGAAAGCATCTGTATCACCTTTAGTAGTATCTGGCCGTAGAGATCTGGGTTTTGTATGCTAAGGTTTTGAGATGTTCCATCTGACATGTAGGCTGCTACCCAACTTCAATTGACCAGAATAGAATTAAGTACATTGAAAAATACCCTTTCCTGAAACAGCCCCCTCTTTATCTCGAGTAACCCACAGAGCACACTGTCAACGGTTCTCATATTGATGGTTTCTTCAGTAGAGAGTAATTCCAACCAACAGCTTGTTCTGTGGAGTAGAAGTGGGGTGTCTGTCGTGTCTGTCGTTTTGTATGTTCCTACCCAGACAAAACGATTTTTTCTGTACGCTCCTAATGACTACGTATCACATCAGTAGTGGTCCCGACATTTGTACACAGCAGGACCACACTTAAAGACGTGGGGGGGTTCAGAGTTCAAATCTCTCTGTGGTCGTTCAATACAAACCTTTGCGCACTAAGGGTTTTGTAAGAAGCTTTGGAAAGAACCATCTACCAGATGACCCCTTCCTTGAATGCTCCTCTGTTATAAATCTTCACCCAGTGTCCCTCTCTCTCTCCTCTCTCTCCCACCTCTACAGGTTCAGAAATGGTAGAGGCTCACTGTCAGAGGTTTGAGGTGAGGAGTACAGATGGAGAGAGAGTTCTGTTCTCTGCAGACGAAGAGGAGATCAGCATCGGTACCGAGAAACTGAGAGTCACAGGTAGGGGTACGCACAAATTGTACAATGCAAATTATACTATATACGATGACCAACGTGGTGTTTATACATGTGCACAAGAATGCGCAATGCACGCATGCGGGTGATGCAATACTCCTGCCAGTGGCTTCACACTACTTCACCGATCAGCAGGTTGTGGTACCGCTCCAAGATGTGCAGCAATGTGCTAACATAGGCAGGGAAGAATAAACCACAAGTAAACATGGATGTAACAATTCTGTATTGTAAATAATTTAATGTTTACATGTTTTATCAAGAAGAAAACACATTTTCTAGAGCTTATGAAGTCCCATGCAGCACCACTGAATGCATACATAGCATTCTTTTTTACCTTTAATATTCGCTATATGAGGTCTTTGATTTTGGCAATTGTCATGCCTCCAAAATGTTTTTGCAGTACAGATGAATTAGTAAGGACTTCCATAAGGCAGAGCGAGACAGGCCTGTTGTCTGCCACACAGAATGCTGTCCTGAAGTGAAATTTATTCCGGGTTCAGATATCTGACAGATAACGACATCATCATGACTTTTATCGCTGTCTGAATTGTGATTAAAAGGGCAGTATCAATCATACCAGCGTAAAACAGGGCCTCATGGTAAAGCTATAAATACATAAGTTGTAGATCAGATTTCTGTTTCCTGATTCACGAATGGGCTGAACAGGGGTGGAGGAACAGTGGGCTCAGACTAATTTGTGAAACAAGGTTACTTGAGGACGCACACGGCTTACAGTACACACACACACACACATACACACGTTGTAGGCTGTTAAACAGAGTGCTCCTGATTAGTGCAGCCAAACAAGACTTGGGTCAGCAGGCAGAGCAATTTTTGTGCTGAATCGAGAATAAAAAAAGGTGAGAGAAGAACAAGTGAGAGATACATTGGGAAGTGAAAGAGGAAGAGAGGAAGAAAGCCAAAAAAGAGACAGATACATGAGAGGTCTGAGCAAAGTCAGGTGAGCATAATTGCAGAGGAAAAAAGAGACAAGGCAATTTAAGTAAAATGAAAGAAGTGATGTTTTGGTGCACTATTAACATTTGTTTTTCTCTCTCATTTACTTATTATCTCTTGTTCAATTTTAGTGCATCAAAAGGAATGAGTTGTATATGTGTGCATTTATGTGTGTCCATGTTTGAATACATCACTAGTTCTGTTATTTTATTTTCCAAGAACACACAAAACCCAATTCAACTTATTCAAATACAAAACACACACACACACACACACACACTGGCCTGGTTAGATGTGTCCATGAAAGAACGTTGCCAACATCTTGATTGAGGTCAAAGATAAGAAACTGAGCATTGGGAATGCAATTATCAACACATCCATGCCGTTTTCATAATAATGTATGTTGCTATAAGGAAACAAAATACTCTTTACATCAGCATGAATTAGATCCACCGCACAGCTCTTATTTAAAAGGAAAATATGTCACTTTTACACGTGATTCGCCTGTTACTCCTGTAACACCAGGAGTAAATGCTGGTGGTTAGGTTTGCATTAAAGCAAAACATATGGTAAGCTAAGTTACCATATGACCGGTCACAGACAAACAATGTAGCATTTTAAAGGCTTTTTCCGGCTACATGAGATAACTTCAGCAAACTTCACATCGAACAATATTGGCAAAACAGCATCACCAATGTGTTTTAACCTCTGATCTAGCTCATCTAAAAACCAAAAAACACAGCATGTTAGCGTGTCGTTCACAACCAAGCATGTTTGTAACCAGTACCAACAACGTTAGCTTCACTTTGCCTGTCTCCTCTCCGCTGCGTGTGTGGAGACCCTAAAAGGTGGCGATGTCTAGAGGTGTTCGATCTTTAATCCACGCTCGTCCCCAACTCTGGCTGCTTAAAGTAGAGATAGCGAGTTTATTGCTTTTGGGGATATTTTCATACAGCAAGGAGATAATGGAGCCATAGAATTACAACTGATAGAGTGTGCACTGTAACACGATACTGACGATCTCTATGTAAAGGCAGGTGATGGAAGCATTTTAATCGTTCACTTTCTAATATTGTCATATCTCACACCCCTACTTACTCGTGATTTCCATTAGTCAAAATGTAAATCCAGTGTGAATTGTGCTGCTTCTAAAGCACTGCTTCTGCTTTCAAACACTTCATGGATATGGTGTACCACGAAAGGTGCCACCTGTGACAACTCATAAACATTCCATGTACACAGTGCTCAGGAGAGCATCTCAGACAATTGTAAATATAGAAGTGAAACCAAAAGGAAGGTAGTCAGGAGCTGGAACAAACACGGCCGGTGGTTGACAAAGTGAGAAACATCGTTGTAAAGAGTAGCAATCCAACGAAGCAACACACCAAACCTTTAACTGACATCGCTGGAGTCGAAAGAACCGGGAGCGTGTTCTCTTCTCTTGTTTCCTTCTGCTGGCAGTTGCTCAGACACCTATTTGTGCCGTGTTCAGTGGAATAAACCTCAGAAAACTGCGTTTCAACTAATAACAGCAACAGTTACCTCCAAGTTGTGGTCCTTTGGATGTACAACTGCACCGTTGATCCTGCCAATGAGCACAGTTCTCTTGTGCAGTTTTACATTTTTGGCAGTGCTGATGTTGTAACACGCTTTCTTACGGTCTCAGCGGGAGCCATGACCAGCACTTCCTGGAGCATCTGTTCAGGGCTGCAGGCTAAAGCAGGGGTGCTTGCTGCACACGGGGGGGTTGAGCACTGCATTATATCAGAGCCAACCTTTTTTACCTACGACTATGTTCATACTGCATGAGTAAAATGTGTTTTTGTATGGGGGAATGTTATGCCACTTAGAAAAATCCTGTACAGAATCAGCAAAAATTGATGATTGACTTGTAGTTCAAAGTCTCTTAAAATACTTTAAGGTTAGGGAAAGATTAAGATTACTTTGAATGCTTGATTAAAGTCAACACATTTTAAGTGTCTGCCTCCGCTCCAACAATAGACGTATGATGCAATGATGTGCAGGCGTTCACTCTTTTCCTTCCTTTCATCCACTCTTACTCTTTCTACAGGGAATGAAGGTGTGGTGTTCAGCCATTCCGTAGAGACATCACATGTAAGGGCAGAACCTTTCCAAGACCTAAAGTAAGTACTCTAAATGATTGTGTGGGTTTGCATGTGTGTGTGTGAGTGGGCGTGTGTGCAGTCTGGCACATTGACTCACTTTACAAGTTCCCTTTGTTGTTAATATTTTAATTTATAAAATGTGTGTTCTTATGAATAATTTCTGAGATAGTAACACCACAAATAACAATTTTAGGAGAAACAAAAAGTATGTTGTTGAGTAAAAATGTGAACTGCTGAGTTAGCTAGCCAGTCCTGTGGAACAGTGCGCTAAAGATGTATAATCAGCTCACTGCAGAAACGGGTATGCTGCTGATTGGCTGTCTGACAGGCCTGACAAAGGGAACAAAACACCTCTGGGCTTCAGTGTATAAGGGTCAGGCTTTAACCAAGTGGAGCCTTCCACTGATACATGCACCTGAACACATGTAGTGCTCGGTGTATGCTCGGTTTCTCCTATTTACGGGAAGGCTTTATCGGCTTTTCAGCTTGTACTTGAATTCTATAAGACACAGTTTGCATCAGCCAAGTTGCTTCACACTGTTGTGAGCTAATGAGGGCAAGTCTTGTCCAAATGATAACTGATGGAACATTTTTGTATATATTTTCTTCTAACAAATTGCGTAGAAAAAAGGAAGGTATGAAACAGAGTACTTGTGACCACAGGCAGCTCCTCAATAACGAAACGCAGGCTAAGCTCAGTCCGATCTAAAGTTGCTTACAATTGCAATAGCTCAGACTGTTGGTTTTCCTGTAACTGCAATAGGATGGATCACATCAGCTGAATGTATGTTTGTTCTCCACATCCCCTCTCCTGAAGTGTGTTCTGGGTGTCTGTCATGCACGTGTGGGGTTCCTTCATTACTAATGTCTCAGCTTCATTCAGGCATTGTCTGTTGACAGGATTTAGCTGAAGTAGCTTTTGACCAGGGAGGAAAACACAAACAGGAAGGGAGGCGGAGAGGCAAAGCTGACAAGGTGACGGAGGAAACCAAGATGAATGGAATGCTGTGTACAAGAGAAAAGAGCGAAGAGAGGAGGAAGAGATATAATTGACTGGTTAGAGGTCGAAGAAACAGGGCTGGAGTAGGGGTGATGAAGAGGACAATCAAAAGATAGAGAAAAAAAAGAAGACAGAGGGGCAGAGAAGGGTGACGGAGGGAAAGAGTTCTGGAAGAGGGGATGGAAGTTAGTGTATAGAAGAATAGATTAAATCGAACTGGCTCCCGCAGGGAGATTTAGTTGTAGCAGCAGCACATAATGGGATACAGAAAAATATGAAGGCATTTGGTGTGTGCAAAATAGCCACTTTTGTGGGGAAAATGGGGACATTTAAGATACTGAACCAAAGTAAAAAGGCCCACTTGTCAACTAAAAAGGTTGCAGGATTTGTGTGTTTTTCTGCGAGACATAGGCTGATCACACCACATGACATTATGAATCTTTAAATGTGAGAACTTGGTTACCTGATACTCTTCTTGAGCATTTCCTTTCTTGATTCAATCATGCATGTAATCAGCTTGCATCAAGCTTGCTAGCTGCGCCATCAATGGCTTATCCCTCTCTAAAACATTTCCAGGCACCTTAACAGGGTCTGAAGTTTTTTTTTTCTTTTGTTGCATTGAATACATTGCTTGCTCAAGTTGATACTTAATTTAAGCAAATGGTTGCTAGTTAGTACTGCCTGAACCAAAGCTATCTCCCTCCATTTGTGCCACTCTTTTAGTTTAAAAGTATTCCCACTACCTTCATTCTCATTGCCCATGTTTTGTATGTAGCTTGGCTATATGGAAAGTAAGATGAAGGGGTGCCTCGTTCTCTCAGTGATCCTAGACTTGTAATTGCCCAATTCTGGGTTTGAATGCAGTATGGGGCATTTGTAAAATGTGTTCTTTCTTTTTCCCCAGTATTCCCCGTTCTCTTCTCACTATATTATTCCAAGCAATAACCTAAAAAAAAAAAGAACAATACTGTTAAATAGATTCAGAGAGACAAAGATCAATGTATATTATTGTGCACAGAGATATGAGATGGTCGGACAGAGAGAGACAAAAGAATGGTTGAAAGTGAAGCAAATGGGGAAGTAGAGGAAATAGGACCCCATACATGCTGAGGGATCAAAGGAGAGGAGAGGAGGAGGCGTCTTGAGTGAGATTAGTTGAAGGAAACCGAGAAGTGATAGAGGGAGGTGTGGAGTTAGGTGGGGATGGAAGGATACAGGCTGGAGGAGGAGCGAGAACATTGGGTCAGTGGACGGGTCACTGCAGATAAGCAAGGCGAGGAAACCCGCGGTGAAGGTGAGCAAAGAAAAAAGGGAAGCACTCCAGTGACTGTTGCTACAAACGCATGACAACGGTTGTTTTCATCGTGTTTAAGACTGTTTTATATCATTAACAATCCTGTGGAGTTACATAAAACCAATTATTGCAGTTAAAAAACACGTAATGTGCCTTGTAAATATTATATTAACCATGCATGCGCACAAAATTCATCCACATAAATGTGCAAACATAAAATAAATATACTGACACACCTAGAACGCATTAAGTACAACCCACCCATTAAAGTGCACAGACACACGCAAGGAATTTATGGATTAAAACCTGCAATAAAACACAAATTTATGTGACGTGAGACCACCTATCACCCCACACACAGCTTTGTCAGTGCAAGCGTATGAATACATCAAGAACAGCAAGTGACATGCATAAAGTGAAACACACACACACACACACATATTGCACTGACCTCTCCACTGCATCACCTGCTGCAGGGTTAATGAAAGCTATAGAAAAATAACACTGATAAAAAGGCGATTACATGCTTGAGATACTTGCCCCTGTCTGTCGTCAGTCATTAGCTGTTAAATGGGAGAGAAAGAAACAATGGGCTGAAGCCTATAGTCATTGTCATGAGGATTTTTTTTCAGTTTTAATACGAGGTTTGTTAGATGTTTCACAATGCTGGTAGAGATTGGATTAATACGGAAAACTTAAGTACAGGTTATCTTCTCTTTTTTTAATTCACAGGCACTTTATTCACCCAAGATTGTAATCCCTTTCTGGTTGGAACGCTTTATCTTTCTGTCTGTCTCCTTCTTCTCGTGGTATCTTTGTCCTCATCTCCCCACTTCCTAGCTCTCTCTTGTTGACTAACTCTCTCATTCGCACTCGCAATTTTGTCTTTGTCGTTCTCATTCTGTCTAGATCTTCCCACGTGTGCATTTCTTCTCTCTGCCTCCATCTCCCCATTCTTTTTCTGTCTCATTATGAAAAGTAGAGCGTTATGCAGTGAAGGTAAATGGGACATGTAATGAGCGGATTGAAGTCCATTTAAAGCTAATGATCTATCTTACAGTTTAACGTTGAGCAAGGGAGAGAGGAAAAGAGGGAAACAGAAGAAAGATAGACGGCACGCACTTTACTCGAGGAAATACAGGTCAAGAAATTCAGATTGGATCAGACATTTTACATTTAGTCACATTTGGGCAAACACGAACCAAGCAAGTTGAATGTGGGGAACAAACACTTGACAAGTTGAGGAGTCAAACTCCACAATCTTATAAAAATAACATTTGCACTGCCGCACCATTTGTATTTGCATTCCCTCTCAGTCAAAGTAGAAGTATAGAGGCAGGTGCCACTCACAGTGACCAGAGAGGGATGCAGTAAGGATTTCTATCATCAAGCTCCAGGAGTCTTTCAGAAGCTAAAGAACACGGAGCTAGAACTGGGTATAGTAGCACAGAAACGACGTGTTCGGCAGCCTGCTTTCCAGAGAACACTCCAGGAAGGCTGTGCCGTTCGTTTTCAAAGCCTTCATTGTGATCGCCACTGAACGCCGTGTTCACACTCTTCGGCTTTTTTCAAACTGCTTTTCCACTTCAAAGTGTACGTGGAGTGGCCGGGGGGCAGACAGAAAGCAGTCGCTTGTGTTGTGCCTGGCATCTTTTTAAGCAGCGCACCTCAACGTCTTAGAGAATCCTTCATGACAGTTTACTGACTAAATAACATGACAAAAAGAAGTGGGGATTGACAAAATGTAAGCAGCCAACAACAACAACAACAAACAGACTGAAAGTGGAGGAAGTAGCTGTAGAAAAGTTGGTAGTAGATGTTTCTCTGACTGGAGCAGCTTTTGTAGTTGTCGGTACAGTTTACTGATAGAAGCAGCGATTCCAGCGACAAAACTGCTTTTCATTATCAGTGCAAAATGTGGCCGAGGCAGCACTTTAACTACAGAAGCCACAACCTCGGTGCGAATGCAGCCTTAGGTAAACAAGAAAAGTTAAAAATAATAACTAGACATAAAGAGCAAAATTGGAGACATATTGTCTCAGGGGAGATGAGTATGAATTTGCAAAACGGAAAAAACAGGCATCAGGAATGAAAAACTTTCACTGTGCCAACACAGTAGTTGTTTATTGAGTGAGGAGTCGGTGTTTTTCCAAGCAGTGCTCGTTCTGAACATGGCCTTAATCAAACCATAGCTCAGCCCTGAGTGATATAAATCAAGACCAAAACCAGCTTTTGAACAACCGGTGCATTTTGACCAAATCAAGGACAAATTGAGCCATAAACAGACCTTAAAACATGTTATCTTCACATAAGCTTTGATTGTTGAGTGTTGCCATTATTGTGTGTTGTGCGTGTATCGACTGTGATTTGAGGCTCCAACTTCAGGCTTTCTTTAATATTCATAGACTCAGAGAATAAACATTGACTGCTGTGGTTTATTGTGTTTGTTTCACAATTCTTGTTTTGGAATACTTTCCTTTCTCTCTCCCTCTGCTAATACTTTTGCTTTTTAAACCACTTTTACTTTTCTGTGATGCAACTCATCCTTTACTGACAACATTTAAACAGTATAACACTGGCATTTCTTTTTTTTGATACACCACATATCTGTTGTTTAAACTTCTTCCCACCTCTCCCATGTCAGTCATATTTTATTGCTTTGTCCATAACATTTCACTTGGATGTGACTATTTCTATTGAGATGACAACGTCAAACTTTTGTTT